CTCTTGCAGAGGACATAGTTTCTTGGTCAGTTTCACTGTTAAGGCTGATCTAAAACGTCCTTCCACGTTTTCTCCAAACCTTGTGTATCTTCACATTCACTCTGTATTTCACCCTTGCCAGTGTCTCCCGTGAGCCCCTCACACCAAACCGGGGTCCACCCTGCCAGACCCTTAGCTCTTAACCTGGACTGCCTTTTCCATCCCAAAGTAAAATTAAGTACCACCTCTTTAAAACTGTTACATTTTAATTCCCCCAGCTTTAAGCAGCCTGGCCTATTCTCAACCCACATAGCATTTTGGCTAGGGGAGAAGTCTAGCTCTTTCTGCCCACAAGGCTCGTGTGTATGTATGTATGTATGTATGTATGTATGTATGTATGTATTATACGAGTAACTTGGCATGTTTTACAGACCTTGCTTTTTGTGTTACCTGTTGTATATCAGAATGTTGTTTTCTGACTGTCATGCCATTCGCAGCCTTAGTAACAGGGCAATGGTGCGATGAAGAAATGAAAGCAGGCCGGGCGCGGTGGCTCACGACTATAATCTCAGCAGTTTGGGAGGCAGAGGCAGGTGGGTCACCTGAGGTCAGGAGATTGGGACCAGCCTGGCCAACCTGGTAAAACCCGTCTCTGCCAAAAATACAAAAATTAGCTGGGTGTGGTGGTGCACGCCTGTAATCCCAGCCACTCGGGAGGCTGAGGCATGAGAATCGCTTGAACCTGGGAGGTGAAGGTTGCAGTGAGCTGAGATCATGCCACTGCACTCCAGCCTGGCCAATGGAGTAAGACTGTCTCCAAAAAGAAAAGAAAAGAAAGCAGAGGAGGCATGTTATGCTCTAGTGACAGAGAGGACCTGTGTTTGGGAAAAAGTAGAAAGATCCGGATTCCAAGCTAGGGTCAACCATTCACTTGCTGTATGAACAATTACTTCATTTTAGTTTCCTATTTTCAAAATGAGAATAATAATGACATATACCACAAATTTTAGTAAAGATTAAATGAGAAAAATAGATGTAAAACACTTAGTTCAGTGCACTAGAAGGTGCTCAATAAATGTTGATTAATACTAGCTGTTGTCACCGGTTATCAATCAAGAGACATTTGTTACTGCCGGGTAAAACAATACTGTGCACAAAAGGGCTCTCAGAGAAAGCAAAAAAGGTAAGTTTGAACCTTCGGGAACCATTTGATCTACTAGAGAAGTAAGAAGTATATACTTCACCTGAAAAACAGCCCAAGGCAGCATATGTGGGGCAGGGAGGTGCAGAGCAGACACGTGGATTCATAAAAGCTAAGGAGGTCTCAGGGAATGAGATTTTCATGAGTGAGGCTCATCAAGCACAGTTTTATGGAGGGAGTGAATCTTGAGCATGAACTGGAAAGTAGCTTAAAATTCAGGCTGCAGCAGAGCAGAGGAGCATGCGTCCTTGCGAAGAGGATCAGAATGAGGTTTTGGGGGAAAAGTAGGGTTTGTTCTACTAGGAGTAGAAGGAGATTGGAAAAGAAGACCTTGTATTGGGAAAGTCAGGAAAACAATAAGAGGGAAGATGAAGCCAAGTTGGAAATAAGGAACTGGGAACCACTATAAGTTTTCAAACAGGGGAATATTATGATGTAAAATTAGTATTTTAGAGAAAACTGGTATTGTATCTATGTGCAGTTGTGAGTGAGACCACAAAGAACTGCTCTGGTGTTTAGATGTCAGGAGGATGAGTACTCACTTGGAAATTGGGAAGGAAATGAGTGAACCTGATGTACATTGTAGGAGGTATTTGTCTATTGTTCTGAGGTCCATAAACAGTCTTCCTCTGCAGTAGGATAAATGAGTGGTCAAAGGGAGAGAAGGCACAGGACTCCAGCTAGCAACTCCTCTCCTCCTCCACCTGCCCCTGCCCCTGTCCCATGGAAATCATCCAGTCCCAGGCCCACCCTTCATCAGCAATGCAGCCAGGAGTTCACAAAGGGAAGCATTTCCTTTCCAAAGACTGCTAAGATGGTCTACCCTGTTATGCCAGGAATGTTAACAAAATCGCAAATGTATTCTTATTTTTTCTCCTTTTTTTTTTGAGTCAGAGTCTTACTTTGTCACACAGGCTAGAGTGCAGTGGCGCAATCTTGGCTCACTGCAACCTCCACCTCCTGGGTTCAAGCAATTCTCCTGCCTCAGCCTCCCAAGTAGCTGGGATTACAGGCGCCCACCACCATGCCCAGCTAATTTTTGTATTTTTAGTAGAGATGAGGTTTCACCATGTTGGTTAGGCTGGTCTTGAACTCTTGACCTCAGGTGATCCACCTGCCTTGGCCTCCCAAAGTGCTAGGATTACAGGCATGAGCCACCACACCCAGCCTGTTTTTTCTCTTCTTCTCTTTTTTTTTTGAGACAGGATCTCAATCTGTCACCCACGCTGAAGTGCAGTAGCACAATCACGACTCACTACAGCCTCGAACTCCTCAGCTCAAGCAATGCTCTGGCCTCAGCCTCCCATGCACCACCATGCTCGGCTAACTTTTTAAATTTTCTGTAGATACAGGATCTCACTGTGTTGCTTAGGCTGGTCTTGAATTCCTGGACTCAAGCAAACTTCCCACCTTGGCCTCTCAAAGTGCTAGGATTACAGATGTGAGCCCCTGCACCTGGCCACAAGTGTATTTTTAAATCACACATTCAATAGCTCCCCATTGGGTGACCAAGTAAGAGTGCTTTTCTTTTCTTTCAGTCAACAAATATTTTTCTAGCACCTCCCACATACCCTTGTGTACTATCCTATCCACTGGGGAGAAAATGGTCAATAAGACCATTCCCAGAGCATATGAGGGAAAGAAACAAAACCACAACATATGAGCATGCCACACTGTTCCATGTCACATTAAAGGCTGCGGCAAAAGCATGTGAGAAATTAGAAGTAAAATAATGGCTGTAGGGACCTTCTCTGGGAGGGACGATCAGGGAAGGCCTCTTGGAAAGTATGACCTCAATGACAAAGGAGCCTGCTCAGCAACCTTGAAGAGGTGCCCGCGTAGGCTCATGGCTATTTCTGCATAGGTTTCTAGATGTGAGGCTGCCTGTCTGGGGAGAGAGGCAGGGGTGGGAGGTGGCTACATTTCCCGAAGGAGTCCGGAGATGCTTGAGTTCTGGGCACGGGGAAGTCAGTCCTAGGCTTCAGTGGGACTGTGTGAATGGCTGAGGACCTGGAATCACCCCTCGTCTGTCTGTGGGACGGGGATTTTTTTTCAGGCACTGCTCTGAAGTATGGTAGAAAGCACAGACATGCTTGGCGGCTCAGCTCTATCTGTCCCGGGCCCTCTTTCAGGTCTCACCTCTAGGCTTGATTGGACGTGGCCCCTTAAGAGAATGAAAATGGGTGACTAGCAGAAAAAGGAAAAGATCCTGGAGTCCCTGTCTTCAAACACGCACCTCTTTGGTTGTGATGCTGAAGTGAGGCAGTGCGGTCTCTTGGACATGCCCTAGAGGGGGTCTTGGAGGTGTAGCAGGGTTACACCCCCTCCCACCATCCTGCCTACACAGTGGTTTTGGGGGCACAGATATTTCAGAAAGTAGTCTTCCCAAGAACCCTACACCAAGTGTACTAGCACCCCTTCCCATACTTGATTCTGGTCCCCTCTTTATTTTTCTCATAGTATTTACTGGACCCAACGTATTACGTATTTGTTTGTTTGCTGCCATATCTCTGGCACTTAGAGCAGTAACTGGCACATACGAGGCACCCAGTGTGTAATTCGTTTGATTAATGAATGTATTGAATGGCTGAATGGCTGAATGAAGACGAGGAGCAGAGCAGATGTCTGACCAGCTCATTCTGGCTTGTGGAAGGATCCTGATTGGGAATTTTGCATCTTTCCCTCCCCACAGCCTTCCAGTCATTATTAAAGAATAGAGACACTGATTCCCACATTCTTTTTTTTTTTTTAATGGAGTCTTGCTCTGTCACCCAGGCTGGAGTGCAGTAGTGCGATCTCAGCTCACTGCAACCTCCACCTCATGGGTTCAAGTGATTCTCCTGCCTCAGCCTCCCAAGTAGCTGGGATTACAGGTGTGCGCCACCACATCCGGGTAATTTTTGTGGTTTTTGTTACAGATGGGCTTTCACCATGCTGGCCAAGCTGGTCTCGAACTCCTGACCACAGATAATCTGTCCACCTCAGCCTCCCAAAGAGCCCCACATTCTTAACTACTGTGTTTGGTATGTTTGCATTGGCATTTGCGTCTTAGGAAGGGGAAACTTTTTAGATCTCTGGGGAAGTCTGTAGTTATTGCAAAGACCTTTCCCTGACTGCTGGGCATTTACCAGATCTTTCTTCCTACGCAACGGAGAGCCTCCCCTGGTTCAATCCTGCTATAAATCTCAATAGTGACCCATAAACAGGGTCCCGATGTGACCTGCTCATTAACACAAAACCATCAGCCCCCATACAGCTTCCTGCCTCCCCAGTCGAGCTGAGGCAAGAAGTTTCCATTCTGCTCATGCTGATGAAACCAGTCAGCAGCATTTACCTTTTAAAGGGTCCTTTCTCCTCCCACCCCAGCCCACCCCAGCGCAAGAATGTAGGAGAGGGCAAACAGCTGCCTGGCTTCAGTTCTGTGGCCACTCAAGGATTGGCTCGTATCTGTCCACCAGGATAGACAGCGTCCTGAGGGGGTTGGTGTGTGTGTGTGTGTGTGTGTGTGTGTGTGTATGTGTGTGTGTGTATGTGTACGAGCGTGCACTCACGTGTGTATGGGGGAATTCAATTTCAGGTACCACACATCTGGAAGTCAGAGAAAGAAGCCACTGCAGATGTTAGAGCCATTTTGGGGGGCAATTTTAAAAACACATTTTTAATGGGCTGAGAGTCTGGTGGAAAGCTGAGGGCAGGGGCGGGGGTCGAGGGGTGGAGTGGAAACAGCTGCGAGAGTGATTGCTGCCTCCATATATGTTTATTAGGCACTGAGGGCGGGATTAGCAGCTCCTGGGGAGTCTGGCCGTAGTCGCTGTGTCAGCCTGTCCTTGAGGCAGTCAAAGCCACAGTGACCATCAGCAAGGACCAACGCCTGTCTTTGGCTCAGAAAACAATGTAGCCTGGGCTGAAACTAGGACCTGCAGGGCCAGAGGGATTTCACTGGAGCCTGATGGAAGGGTGACAGAGGTGAGAGGCACCGGTGTGAGGGACAAGTGTCACAAGTGGGGAAGGAGAACTCTGCTACATGGAGGTGGAAATGTGTGAGGATCAAAGTCCCCCGGGAGAGTAGGTGTTGCAGGCCGCAGGGCGGTGGGCTGGGCATGGGCTGGGCATGGGCTGGGCAGGAGGCTGCGGGGCGCAGGGAGAAGGCTGGAGAAGCTGGAGGCCTGGGACAGCCCTAGCTCTGCAATCCCGGGAAGGACCGGTAGGTGGAGTTAAGGATATTTGGACGAGGAAACGCTTTGAAGCTTTTCTCTCGTCCTCCCTACCGGGACCTGGTCCCCTCCCATCCATAAAACCATTAGCTCCTGGTGCCAGCCCTATCTCTGCTCCATCTCTCTTGGTTCCAGTCGGTGCATTCACATACCTCCCGCCCTGGGGGACGAGGAGGATTTATGGGGGGAGAGGGGAGGAGGAGGGGCATCCTTCAGAGGAGGGGAGGTCTGAGGAGGGTCGGGTGCGGGGAGCTGTTAGTCCCGGGCTGGAGGCCGGCTCATTTCCGAGCTGGCTCTGCATGACAAAGGGGAAGGAGCAAGTTTCTTCTTTGATCTGTCCCCTGCCGGCCCCACACACCTGCCTGTTGGTGCCCCTGCCCCAGCTGAGACTTCGAAAAGGAAAACCCAAAGTGGGTGGGGGAAAGGCTGTGTCTCAGCTCTCCTGGACCCTGCTCAGGCCATCTCCCTCTCCTGGTGGTCCCAGCACAAAAATACTTCCTGGGCTGATGACCCGAAGCACCTGCCGCCCCCTCCCGGAAAGCCTGGGGACGCCGACGCGCGAGAGTGGCGCAGTGAGCCGGGGCGCGCGGGGCTGCACGCATCAGGTCCGGGGCCTCAGGGGCCCCGGGGAGGCCGCTGGAGGCGCGGGTCACGCCCAGATGGAGGCCGGGGAGGACTGCGGGGGAGCCGCAGGGGGCGTGTGTCTGTGGGCGTAGGCTCGCTCTGGGGTCCAGCAGCACGGATCTGCCGTGGGTCTGAGGGGCTGGGGACTGGGGTTCTTGGGGATGGATAGAGGCACAGGCTGAGTTAGAGCAGGCAGGAGGCCAAGAGGTGGGAGACTTGGGAGCTACCAGGGAAGGGCTGTGGCTTCTGGAAGATGCGTCCTCAGCTCAGGCGTTTGATGCCAGAACTGCCGCCTGGCGCTGGCAGTGTCCCTGGCTCAGCTGCTGGGCAAGGTGCTCAGTGCCCCCCTCGAGGGCCACGGTGCCAGGAGGGGCAGGGGCCGCCTAGGGAGGCACCACCTCAGCCACCAAAGCTTTCCGGGCCGGCGGTTCACAGTGTGACTTTTACATTTCTTGAAGAAGGTGCTTTGAGAAACTGAAAAGTCCTTGATCTGTAAGCAAGGGCTGGGACTCGGAAAACTTGCTGCGGGTGAGAAGGGAAACTCCTCTTTGGGCGCAGGCAAATTCAATTCACCAACATTTTTAAATTTCACAAAGGAGAGCCTGATGGTCAGAGGAGTAAGTCTTGGGGCTGGAGTGAGAGGCAGGGAGGGGCTGGACTGGGTAGGATGGGCCTCATTTCTGTGGATGTTGGGCAGCACCGGCAGGTGTGCTTTGCCACAGACAGAGTGGCCTCCCCGATACCCAACGGAGGAAAGGCGCAAGCTCCGCTCTTGAAATGATTTGTTTTCATTTCTCTTTCTGGTTTCTCAGCTCATTGTTTCTTTGGGAATTAGGTCCTGCGCAGGGTTCCCACAGTTTGGGGTAAGAGACAGAAGCCCTAGGGTGGGAAGATGAGCGGTGGGAGGTGGAGGATGGAAAGAGGCTGAGCTTCTTTGTGGGGAGTGAGCAGCGTGTAAGCATCAGTGCACTTTTCTCCACCTCACCCCTGGCTCCTGGTCTGCCCTTATCCGCTGAGTTTCCACACCGACTGTCTCTTTCTTTCTGTTTTCTCCAGGGAGCCCTACTCTGGAAGCTGTCAGTCCCAGGGCACTGGGGAGGGCTGAGGCCAACCATGCCCAGCCTGCTGCTGCTGTTCACGGCTGCTCTGCTGTCCAGCTGGGTTCACCTTCTGATAGAAGCCAACTCCTGGTGGTGAGTAAGAGGGGCTGAGGTCCTGCCTGCACAGCCTGAGGTCTCCTTCAGCCACTGAGATGAGAAGGAAGGGCACCCTGTGTCACCATTATGCCTTGATTCCTAGGAATACTAAGGGCCTCTTTTATGCCAGGAAAACTAAGAACGCTCTGTGTCTCTCTCAAGAGCCCTTACCTTTGTAAGGGTTCCCTGAGGTTAGAAGACCCATTCATTTGTTTGTTTGTTTTTTCTCTTATCTTGTCCACATTCCCTTTTCCTTGGACCCTTTCCTCATGCCCATGAATTGTTAGAAATTGCTATTGGGTCAACAAGAATATCAGTACTTGGTAGTTTTTTGTTCCCTGGTTTTGCGTGTTTTGCCGGTAGGAGATAGAATTCCTCTTTTCTAAGTCAGAAGAGCAGGTGAGGGGTTCACAGCACCATGGGTGGCTCTCTTCTTGTGTTTTAAAGGCTATTGTCATTGCCAAGCTGACATGGAAATGCAGGCGATCACCACCTATTTTGCATGGTCTCTGCTACTGGCATTTTTACTCAGGTGGCAAATCTGCAGCCTTCTCATCTAACGCTCTATGTGACTGGTAAATGAGAGCAAAAGGCAGAGCCTCTGAACTGGTGAAGAGTGGATGAGGGGATGCTCGAAGTGAGACATGGCAGTGAAAACATGGAGAATAGATTGTGATGTATGGAAAGCGATTGGATTTTAAAGGCACAAGGGAGCTCCGCGGAAAGGAATTGATTGCCTTCCATGGTGTATCGTGCACTTGGGCTGCCCTGAACTAGTCACTCCCACTCCTTGAATGAGGCCTGTGCTCTCCCATTGGAGTTTGGCTCTTTTTGCTCTCTACCTAAAATGAAGTGCTGCCCCCACCCTTTGTCTTCTTATCTGCCTGCTCCCCGATTCTTAAGAGTCAGTTCAAACTCTGGCCATCTCCTTATAAAGGCTTCTCTTCAGCTGTAAGAGCTATTTTCCTATCTGATCACAGCAGATCCGGAAGCTGGAGTCTGTCTGAAGCATTTGGCAGTCTCGCGTGCCTCAGTTTCCTTCATTTGCCCTTTGAAGGCCAGCAGTCTGATTTACTAATTTTTCTTTCCAACTCCCTGTACACAGGGAAGCATTCAATGAATGTGTTGAACAAATGACTTCATGCTGCACACAGACGTATGCTCACTCCTGGGCCTGTTTTCCCCTTTCTGGATTGCTGTTGTAGGTCATTAGCTATGAACCCAGTGCAGAGACCCGAGATGTTTATCATCGGTGCCCAGCCTGTGTGCAGCCAGCTTCCTGGGCTCTCCCCTGGCCAGAGGAAGCTGTGCCAATTGTACCAGGAGCACATGGCCTACATAGGGGAGGGAGCCAAGATGGGCATCAAGGAATGCCAGCACCAGTTCCGGCAGCGGCGGTGGAACTGCAGCACAGTGGACAACGCGTCTGTCTTTGGGAGAGTCATGCAGATAGGTAAGAGGGCTGGGCTAAGGAACTGCACTCATCCTGTCTGGGAGCAATTAAGCTCCCTCAGGACTGGCACAGGGAGAGCCCAGATGGAGCCTAATGGGGTTCTCTCTAGGCTTGGCAGCGGTGTGCACTGAGAGAGGCACTCGAGGCAGCGGGCTCTGGGAGACTGCAGTAACCACAGCTTGGCGTTCCCTAGTCTTCTGTCTTCCAGCTTCACCCAGGGCAGGCTGCTTGGGACTCGCTCTGAGAGGGGTCAGAATACCTGAGTTGATTTAGAGTGGATTAGGAGGCCCGCCCACCGCCACTGCCTTTGTCTCTCAGCGCAAAGAAGGGCCTTGGGTAGAGAACAAGAAATTGCAGCCCTGAGTGTCTGTAGGATTTTTGCCTCTTCCACTTGAACCTTCCAAAGAGGGATAGAAATATCGGGCCAAACTGGTGATAGCTGTCACTACCCTAACCCTATCCAGTCCCAGCTTCTTCATTTGAAAGGGACGTGTGAACGTGGGGGAAGGGGTCAGACGAAAGACAAAGATGAGAGGGAGAGGGCCAAGTCTTCCTGGACTCCTGTCCCTTCCCCTCTCCCACTGCTGGCCAAGGATTCTTGAGCTACCCAATTGCTTAGCTGGAGGTGTGATGTGAGGTCTAATTGTTTTACGTCCTTTTGAAATGCAATCCTCCCCTCTCTGGCGAGAAATTGAGAAATCCGGCCCTATTCTACTGGGTCTTATCCTCAGGGCCATAAAAGGGAAGTGTTAGAACGCTGTATTCCTCCAGCCTGACATTCTCCCAGAACACCTCCCTTCAAAAGGTTACCTGAGGCTGGAGTCTCCCCAGAGAGGGATTTTAGCCTGACAGGCGAATTGGGGAGGTGGAGGTTTCCTGCTCCTCTCTTAGGGAGAATACTTGGAAGGCCCCTTCCCCCTCCCACTTATTCCAGACCTCTTTCCCTACCCTCTCTGTCCCATATTGAGAAGCAGGGCCCGAGGCAGTGGCTCACACCTGTAATCCCAGCACCTTGGGAGGCTGAGGCAGGAGAATTCCTTGAGGCCAGGAGTTCAAGACCAGCCTGGGCAACACAGTGAGACCCCTGTTTCTATAAAAAAAATTTTTTAAAAGGAGAGGGAATTAAAAATGGGGAAAGTACATGCTGAAACTGGCTGCTCTCTTGCTTCCTTCAGTAGTAACTCAGGATATATAAAAGGAAGGTCCTGGTGTTCCTGGGACAATCTTACGGGGCTGCTTTCCCACAAGAGTGGACTTGGGGGCTTAGTGTGATTCACTCAGTTTATTGATTCTTCTCAAATCCACTTGGTATTTGCCTCTTCTCCCTGGCGAAAGTCTTGTCAGCACTCCCTGCCCTGTGTTTTGGGCAAGGAAACTAGGACAGCCTCGGTGCAGAGTGTTCTGTAGTCTCCTGAGTGGAGTTCATGTTTATTGGGTACCTAATGTAGGCCTGCTATTGGCTAGATCCTTTTCATGTGTGTTTCATGTGCATAAAGGCCTCAGAGTGAGCCTGTACTTCAGGAAAGAAAGGGGTTGGCACCGCTCTGGGTTCAGGGGTGCCCTAGGTGCCCAGAGAAAGCACGCCCTATTGAAGACAGCCCATCTCTCTGTGCCCTATTCTGTTACAAAATGGAACCCTTCTGTTTGCCTCATTTTCCTCCTTCTTTTTTATAGCTTCCCTGAAGGCTCATGCGACCTAGGAGGCTGTCCTCCCTTCCTCCCCACTGAGCCCATAGTAGCTCCTGGTGAGTCCTTGCCCTGCATTGAAAATGACTTTCTAAGGCTTCTTTTTGCCTTTGAAGCCGTAGCAAAAGTCAGTCACCAGAGGGCGGCAGAGCCCCTTGGAGGAGCCTCCGAGTCGCCCGGCCTCTGCCTAGGAAGCCTGGAGGCACCTTGGGCTGCTGTGGAAGAGAGAGGACATGAAATTGCTCTGCTGTCTCCTGCAGGGGAAAGGCGCATGTCCTCTAGTAGTTCCATGGCTGCTTTTTTTTAGCCATTTATCCTTGAGATGGTTAGAGTTTCAACTCTGAACTGTTGCATATATAGATAAACCACCACATTGCATATCCGTTCTGAAGCCCCAAATCATCCCTTTCTTGCCAAGGGTAGGAACAGTAGAGGGCCCTCACTGGGCTTACCCAAGGGCCCAAAGGCTGCCCCCTGAAGGCAGAGCTACCCACACCCAGCTTCTGATGGAGACCCAACGGAAAGAGGCAGGCAGTGCAGCGGAGGACAAATTGGGATCCCAGAGAGTAAGGATATGTTAGAGTCGTCAGAGTACATCATGTCCGGTGTGTTAGTTCAGCTGCAGGTACCTCATTTTAGAAGGCAATTCAGAGAGGGCTGATTCAACCCTGAAAAATATGTTTGCTAAAGAATGATAGAAATAAGTCAGACATATGTAGCTTGGAAAAGTGAAAATGTAAAAGGCGTATTAGTTGTTTTCAAACACTGAAGAGCTGTCAAATGGGAAAGGGATTATAGCACAGTGCAACCGCAGTAGGCAGAAATCACAGGAGGCATATTTCAGCTTAATACCAGAAGGAGCATTCTGGTGATTAGAGTCATTACAGAAAGATGGAAAGGGTTGTCTTGAAAATCCAGCCCGCTTCTTGGAGGAACTCTGCAGAAGGAGAGCTCCCCGGGGGTACGGAGGATAGCTTGAGGTTGAAGTTTGGGAGGCTCCCTTCTGTTCCAGGATGCCACGTCGGGCAGCTGAAGCTGCATTTTCAGGAGATGAGTTCCTCAAAATGGGGCCCAGTCCCTCCTGCCTACGAGCCTCTTTGGCCATCTTACCATCCCCAGTGCTCCTTGTCACATTCTGAGCCCCCTAGACCAGGTCTTATTGGCTGAATCGTGAGTGTAACTTCCTGCCACCATTTCCGTTTTTCTTGGGCTGTTCTTATTTCACAACGGACCAAAAGCCAGCCACTGGTTAACAGAGAAAAACAAACTCGCTCAGCATGGTCTGCTTGTAAACTTCACTGTGTCATGCCCAGATAATCAAGAAGCAGGGCAAAGGGGGGGAGATTTTTCTTTTTTTTTTTTGAGACGGAGTTTCACTCTTGTTACCCAGGCTGGAGTGCAATGGCGTAATCTCGGCTCACCGCAACCTCCGCCTCCTGGGTTCAGGCAATTCTCCTGCCTCAACCTCCTCAGTAGCTGGGATTACAGGCACGCGCCATCATGCCCAGCTAATGTTTTTGTATTTTTAGTAGAGACGGGGTTTCACCGTGTTGACCAGGATGGTCTCGATCTCTTGACCTCGTGATCCACCCGTCTCGGCCTCCCAAAGTGCTGGGATTACAGGCTTGAGCCACCGCGCCCGGCAAAGGGGGAGATTTTTCTAGGCCTATTGATTGATTTCAGATCGCTTCCCTCTCTCCCTTCCAAGACAGGATTGTGGGACTCTACCTGGTTTAATCTCTGAGATCAGGATTGAATCTGTCTCCTGCCAAGAATCGCTCCCTTCTGTCCATTTCTAAGTCCCTATGAATATCATTTATTATTTCTTATAACAGCTTTATTGAGATATGTAATTCACATACCATGAAATTCACCATTTTAAAGTGCACACTTCAGTGGCTTTTAGCACAGTCACAGGTTGCGCGACCGTCACCATTATCTAATTCCATAACACTTTCACCGCTCCATAGAGACACTGCATACCCGTGAGCTGCCCGACTCTCCACACCCCAACCTGCAGTGCTAGGCAACCACTGTTCTTTCTGTCTCTGTGGAGTTGCCTCTACTGGGCATTTCTTATGAATGGGATTATATAATACGTGACCTTTGGCGACTGGGTCCTTTTACTTAGCATAATGATTTAAAGTTCATCTGTGTTGTAGTCTATATATATGTATTTTTTGAGGCAGGGTCTCACTCTGTTGCCCAGGCTGGAGTACAGTGGTGCAATGATAGCTCATTGCAGCCTGCAACTGCTGGGTTTAAGCAATTCTTCCACCTCAGCCTCCTGAGTAGCTGGGACTACACGCATATGCCACCATATCAGCTAATTTTTTTTTTTTTTTTGAGATGGAGTTTCACTCTTGTTGCCCAGGCTGGAGTGCAATGGTGCAATCTCGGTTCACTGTAACCTATGCTTCCTGGGTTCAAATGATTCTTCTGTCTCAGCCTCCCAAGTATCTGGGATTACAGTAGCCCGCCACCATGCCTGGCTAGTTTTTATAATTTTAGTAGAGACAGGTTTCACCATGTTGACCAGGCTGGTCTTGAACTCCTGACCTCAGGTGATCTGCCCGCCTCAGCCTCCCAAAGTGCTAGGATTACAGGCATGAACCACAGTGCCTGGCCTAATTTTTTTTTTTAATGCTTTTTTAGAGATGGGGTACTGCTGTGTTGCCAGGCCGTTCTGAAACTCCTGACTTCAAGTGATCTTCCTGCTTTGGCCTCCCAAATTGCTGGGATTACAGGTGTGAGTCACCATGCCCAGTCACTTTTTATGGCTGAATAATATTCCATCGCATGGATAATACCACATTTTGATTACCCATTTACCCATTGATGGACAGTTTGGTTGTGTCCATTTTTTGCCTATTATGAATAATGCTGCCAGAAGCATTCATGTGTAAGTTTCTATGTGGACATGTGTTTTCACTGCTCTTGGGTATAAACGCATACATCTGAGATAGCACAGGTTTGATTCCAGTGTACTGCAATAAAGTGAATATTGCAATAAAGTGAATGTTTTGGTTTTCCAGCACATGTAAAAGTTATGTACACACTATCCTATAGTCTATTAAGTATGTAACAGCATTCCATCTTTTAAAAAGATACATATCTTAATTAAAAATACTTTATTGCTAAAAAATGCTGACCCAGAAACACAAGGTAGGTACATGCTATTGGAAAAGTAGCAGTGATGGGTGTGTAGCAGGATTGCCACAAACCTTCAATCTGTAAAAATAACACAACACCTGCACAGCACAAGAAAGCTGAGCACAGCAAAACGAGGAGCTTTGCCTATGTTCTTGGGAGTGGACTTGCTGGGTCTTATGGGGACTCTATCTTTAACCTTTTGACTGTTAGTCTTAGACTCCCAGGCTGTTTTCCAAAGCAGCAGCACCGCTTACCCTTCCCACCGACAGCATGGGAGGGTTCTGGTTTTTCTGTATTCTCTCCAACTTGTTACTGGATGTCTTTTTGATGATAGCCATCCTAGTGGATGTGATTTGGGCTTACAAATGTATTTCCCCGATAGCTGAGTATTGTGAAACAGACATTTTACTGGGATAGAACATACATTATATGAATTTTTAGGTAGTTTGCCACAGCAGTAAAGGGGAACATAGTTGCGGTTTTCTACTGGAAAATGATCTCGGTATTTGGAGGGACCGTGGTGAGTGCCTGGAACTGTCGGTGCTGTAGATGTGATTCCCAGCGCTCATGAGTTAGGAGGCAGTGTGGATCCCTATGGAAGAGAGAGGGAGACAGCTTGGATTTTTTGGACACTAATTCTAGTTCGCTTTGGACTCCTGGCCTCTGCCACTATCTGGCTAGATAATGGCAGCAATACAGACAGACAGACGTGTAGCTCAGAGAGTGGTGAGAAGTGGCATCTATGCGGCAGAAGTTCCTACTAGGATACAACGTCCTATCATTGATCCCACGATTTCTTCCCCAGCCTCATTCCGTTGGACTCCCACTTCCATGTGTGTCCGAATGCCCATTCTCCCCTCCGCTGAGGTCTCCCTCCTAGGAATCTACAGGTCAGGCAGGCTCTTCTGCAGTGGGTATTAGTGCAGGCCGAGGCCGAGGGGCTTGTTTTATTCTGTGTGGTTTCAGAGGGCTGAGCTAGGGCCAAGAGGCGGAAGTAAAACTGAGCCGATTTCAGCCCATTATAAAGACGTTTTCAAGCATCCGAGCTCTGGGAAGTGAAAAGTGCTCCTCCTGATCTCCTGCCCCAGGAGTGTCGGCGGACGCTGTGGTGTGCAGGTCAGTCGGGGGCGATGGGGAGCAAGACAGGTCTCCAGGAGAGGAGCGTGCACCCCGTTACTGCCCCTGCCTCCTCTTGCAGGTAGCCGAGAGACTGCCTTCACCTACGCGGTGAGCGCCGCGGGCGTCGTCAACGCCATCAGCCGGGCCTGCCGCGAGGGCGAGCTCTCCACCTGTGGCTGCAGCAGGACCGCGCGGCCCAAGGACCTGCCCCGGGACTGGCTGTGGGGCGGCTGTGGGGACAATGTGGAGTACGGCTACCGCTTCGCCAAGGAGTTCGTGGACGCCCGGGAGCGAGAGAAGAATTTTGCTAAGGGATCGGAGGAGCAGGGCCGCGTGCTCATGAACCTGCAGAACAACGAGGCGGGTCGCAGGGTAAGCTGGGCCTCCCCGGCCTCCCCGGCCTCCCCGGCTCTGCAGACCCACGGGGCTGCTCCCCGGCGGTGCCACCAGCCGTGGCCTGACCATGAGGGAAGCAGGCTAGTCTGACCGTGAAGATTCTTCCCTACAATTGCAAATTTAGATGTCCACGTTATTGAACAAATCCTTTCCAAAATGCCCCACTTCCCAATGGGCACGCGTGCTTTTTTTTTTTTTACGCTTTATTATTCCACAGTCCCTAGAGGGCTTAGCTGCAATGTTGGGATCCGAATTCCAGACATAGGATTAGAGCAGAGCTCTTGTCTTGGCCACCCCTGCTTTGCCACTTGAACAGATAAGGCGATTGGATGTTTACGCTGTTAGATCTTATCTCGGGTTTATGGTGTGTTAAAGGCTCAGGTAAAACCAGAGTCGACTTTTAAGAACTGCTATCACAGAAACCCAGTCAGCCAGAAACCCAGTCAAAAGACACATTCAAGTACTAATGACAAACGCCTTCTGTGCTGGGAGTTTTTAAACCTAAGTAGAAGTGTGAGAAGACAGCCTTCTGCTTAAGGCTTAAGCAGCCTCCCGGGTCTTGTGTAAGATGTGACCACCTTTTCAGCCTCAGTTTCAGTAGGGACGACAATAGAGTTTGAGGGGAGCTGGGTTCATTGCACGTGCAGAGCACACCTGGGCAGGTGGTGTGCTGGAGAGCGTGGCCCCTCTCTGCCTGCATCTGGTTCCACAGATCTGGCCTCCTCTTTTCTTTGCTACCCCCCCCCCCATCATGGCTGCCTCTGCCCCACAAGACTGGACGGCCTGCCTGCAGGAAGCTCTGCCTAGCTAGAAGCTAGAAGCTCTGCAGGAAGCTACTTCTGCATAGCCAGTGTAGACAGGGACTGAGGGCAACATGGGTGTGCACTGGGTTTCCCCTGAGAAAGGGCTGAGGTCTGAGCGCTGGGTGGTGAGAGGCTCTTTCTCCTGGAAAAAGACCTCTTGGGAAATAGCACGGACTTCTTTCTCTGAGTGTTGTCCCCACTGGGGTCTATGTCAAGCCAGCTGGCTCTAGGTCACAGGTGAGGTATCGTAACAAAGATGAACTCACTAAAAAATGAAAATGGCAGCCCCTGCGGTGGTTCACACCTGTAATCCCAGCACTTTGGGAGGCTGAGGCGGGAGGATCACCTGAGGCCAGGAGTTCTAGACCAGGCTGGCCAACATGATGAAACCCCATCTCTACTAAAAATACAAAAATTAGCCAGGCGTGGTGGCACACGCCTATAATCCCCAATACTTGGGAGGCTGAGGCAAGAGAATAGCTTGAACCTGGGAGGTGGAGGTTGCAGTGAATTGAGATTGTGCCATTGCACTCCAGCCTGGCCAACAGAGCGAGACTCTGTCTCAAAAAAAAAAAAAAAAGTGAACTCATGTATTGGAGCACATATCAAAGAAATGGGATAGAAAGTGTCTTTTGTCTGAAAGGGGATTTTGTAGTATCGGCTGGGTAGAATGTGGTGCACCTGTGTGCATAGCGTCATCAGGCATGGGACATCAGGTAGAGACCAGAGTGGGTTATTTGCCCAGGGTCTTTCTTACACTTCCCCTATCCAGAGGCTACTTTTGTTTCGCAGAAAAGTGTGTGTGTGATGTGGTGTCAGTCTGTGGTGATGTGAGGAGTTTTGGCTAATCTCTATGGGCTAACCCGGGGCAGAGAGGCTGGAGCCGTCTCAGGTGACTTCTGCTCAGTCCGGGTGTGGAGCCACCCTCTCAGGCATCCTGTCTCCCAGTCCATTTGCCCACGCCTTTGGGTGTCTGGGCCTGAGGAGCAGAGACATCAGTGAAGGGATTAAGATCCACATTTGATCTCCGGAATACCCAAAGTGGGTCCAGTGGTTGAGGTCCTGCTTGCAACAGTGCCCGCCCCAGTCCCCACTGTTAGTCGTCTCTCTGCTACCTGAACGTCGCCCGGACGTTCATGCTCTCTATGGGTATTCCCTGCTCTACCTTTGCCTTGGCAGGTTGGCGGTAGGTTCCTTCGGGCAGGGATCGCCCTCTCTACCTCTTTGTTTTAACCCTCCGTGTACTGTATTGGGTGGGGCATGTGCATATGCAGACAGGAGCCCTCGGGAGAGGTCAGATTCACGGAGGCGCTTGTGGCTCTGCTGAGCTGTGCTATGGTGTCCGCAGGTGCCTTTGACCAGGCAGGTGACACCCACTCTTCCCCTTTCCCCTGCTGCTGGGTCCATCTCACTTAATTGTTCATTTGCTTGTCCAGGCTCTTATCTGGCAGCCTTCCCTCCCACTGGGCTTGTTCCTGGTTTGCACACCTTCCCTGTCTCCCGCCTAGCCCCTTCCTCCAGGCCCCACACCTCTTCTCTTCCTTAACTCCTTGTCTCCCTCTTTGCCTGTGTCTGCTCCAGGCTGGGAATTCCTGGCCCTCTCTCTCTTTTTTTTTTTTTTTTTTTTTTTTTTTTAGTAGAGATGGGGTTTCACTGTGTTAGCCAGGATGGTCTCGATCTCCTGACCTCATGATCTGCCCACCTCAGCCTCCCAAAGTGCTCCTGACCCCTGCCCTCTTTGTTTTATAATCCCCTCTCCAAGGAACAGGCCTCAGTCATCAGTCACCATCTGAGGCCGGAGGTATTCACTGCTTGCCTCCTCACACCTACGTACAAGGTTCTCCAGCAAGGACTGAGTGGTGGCTGGGATGGAAAATAGACAAGTATTTTAGAACCAGATTAAAAAGAAAAAAGGATTATCCAGGATCCGATGTCTCGACACAGAGTAAATCTTAGGCTACTTTGCCAGAAATTTCTCTTGGCCCGCAAGAGCCTCTAGAAGCTTCGTCTTAGACAGTAACGGCAACGCCAGTGGTTGACGTTGTTTTGCCACTCAAGGGTTTCTAAGCATTTTCCAGATAAAAGCCTGGTGCCTAATCCTGTAACATTCCTGTCTGTCAGCAGGCTTGGGAAGCCATTAGATAGAAGTGGAAGAGGGGCTTAGACGGGGCTGTTCCAGGGACAGATCGTGGAACCGGAACATTTTTTAAAGCATTTTTTCTCTCTTTTTGAGTTAGCAGTCTGGGCTGAAAATTGGCATTTCCCCCATCACCTACAAAAGGAGCTTATATACATTATCAATAGTAACATATGAAAAAAATACAGATATTCCTATCTCTACAATGTCTTTGAATTAGGGGAAGTATGGGGGGTTGTGTTTAAACATGAGAGCACTGGCGTGCTTCCTCTTGGATTTGTTTTCCTAAAATTCTGGTCCTTGGAGTCTTGCTCCCCCTTTCCTTCCCCAACTCAGCCTGAGTGTTTGCCCTGCAAGAGAGGCTTATCCGGTGCCCCAGTGCTAAGCGGCAAGGTACACAGTTTTCAACCCTTAATGTTTCCTCCTTTCAGCAGTGCCAGATGCCTGCCATCCCTCTCTAAACCAAGGACCATTTCCAGAGGAATGTCAGGCTGCAGCTCAGACCCAGGGCATTTGGGCCAGAGGGGTAATAGCAGGTCCGGTCTTTGAAGTGTCTGTCGGAATGGGGTGTCAATTCCTTTATGTCTTGGGCCTGGAGCTGCCCGGCCAAGTGCTGGTGCTTTCAACCTTGGGAAGAGCCTTCCTTCTTCCTCTGCTCTAAGCTACCTTTAAGCCCCGAGATTGGAGTGGATAAGTGCTTGTTATTCTGACTCCCTTCTGGGTGGCCTTGAAGGTTAGTGAGCCTCTCCAGAGCTTCAGTTTCTCCACCATAAAATAGTGGGAATAATTCTATACCAGAGAAAAGTCAGGAAGACTTTTGACAACAGTCATAAGCCCTGATGACGACTGTGCTGTCTCTTGCACCTGCAGTGGTCTCTGCTTAGCTCTGAATAAAGACACAATCCAGGGGCTCTTGAAAAGAAATCTAAGAGAAACCCTTGAAAAATGAGTCCTGACTCAGTTGGTGACAATAGCCGTGCATAAGAAAATGTTCTGCAGCCGGCTTGCGTTTTCTTCCTGCCATCTGCACGTCTGGGCCTGCCGCCAAATTTGGTTGCCATGGTGCATGAGTCTGCTGCCACTGAAAAGCACTTTGTAAGCAGCTTTCTGGTCTGCTCTTGCTTTGACATTCTGATTTGGGATAACAACCCAAGTTCCAGTCTACTCCATGTTGTGGCGGCCCTGTGACTTCTGGGGTAGACCTGTTCAGGCGAAATGCTCCTGCGGGCAGGCCCAGTCTCTTGCCATTCCCTTTACCCGGCCTCACTTTCTTACCCTACTTCTCCCAAGGAGGGATCTGGGGGCTGCTTACAAATGGGATGGTTATGGCAAGAGCGCTGATGACTCCGTGGAGTTAGTGACTGCGTGGTAACATGGGCAAAGGGGCCATTTAATTCTCAGGGTATTTGACAGGATCAGGGAGAGTTTTGAGCTAATCAGGGCTATGCCAGTGATTTCTGTGATACGACTGGATTCTTTTTTCTGACTTGTGCTCCTATTTATGCAAAAGCTGGACACATGTTGTTGTTTTGTTTTGTCTTGCTTTGTTTCTAGCGATGGAGTCTTGCTCTCTTGCCCAGGCTGGAGTGCAGTGGCATGATCATAGCTTGCCTGGGCTCAAGTGATCCTCCTTCCTCAGCCTCCCCAGTAGCTGGGACTACAGGCACCAGCTATAGTGCCTGGCCACATTTTGTTGGCTATTATTTATTTGCTTGAGACTTTTATCAAGATGGAGATAGCTTTGTTTTCTGATCGTGAAAACGATGCACTGATTGTAACAGGTTTTGAAGAGGAATGAGAAACAGATAAAGTAGAAAGTGGAAATGCCTCAGTGCCATCCTCCCGGCTGATAGGGACAAGTTGCCTTGCCTCCCCAGGGTTCTTTTATTTGGTGCCCCTTTTATGTTTTCCCTCTGAGCACCAAAGATCCTGGAAAGCTCTTTGCATGCATTTGAAAAGCTGTCTCTCCCCTACCCTACCTACCCCTCCTGTGTACAAGCCTGTGGCTACCCCAGCCACCCTCTGAGCCTCTTCGCAGGATCCTCCTTCTCACCCCCTTCTTTCTCCTCCCCTAGGCTGTGTATAAGATGGCAGATGTAGCCTGCAAATGCCACGGCGTCTCGGGGTCCTGCAGCCTCAAGACCTGCTGGTTGCAGCTGGCCGAGTTCCGCAAGGTGGGGGACCGGCTGAAGGAGAAGTACGACAGTGCGGCTGCCATGCGCATCACCCGCAAGGGCCGGCTGGAGCTGGTCAACAGCCGCTTCACCCAGCCCACTCCAGAGGACCTTGTGTACGTGGACCCCAGCCCTGACTACTGCCTGCGCAACGAGAGCACGGGCTCCCTGGGCACGCAGGGCCGCCTTTGCAACAAGACCTCAGAGGGCATGGACGGCTGTGAGCTCATGTGCTGCGGCCGAGGCTACAACCAGTTCAAGAGCGTGCAGGTGGAGCGCTGCCACTGCAAGTTCCACTGGTGCTGCTTCGTCAAGTGCAAGAAGTGCGCCGAGATCGTGGACCAGTACACCTGTAAATAGCGCCGGGGCCTGCTCCCGGCCCCGCCCACACTCTGCCTCACAAAGGTCTATGTTATAAAAATCTATATAAATCTATTTTATATTTGTGTAAATAAATGGATGGATGCTAAATAATGGAACGATGGAAACGGAAAGGAAAGCTTATTTAAGACATGCTGGAGGTCTTTGAAGAGTGGACCTTGCTGGCTGTCTCCTCCTGGGGGATGAGAGGCGGGGCTTTTTCTCTGGAGAGGACTCTCAGGATGTAGGCACTTGGAAATATTTACTGTCTGTCCACTGTGGCCTGGAGGAGGGAGGCTGTGGTTGGATGGAGGAGATAATCTTGTCTGGAAGTCTGGAGTCTTTGTTGGTTAGATGACCGCCCATGACCCTGGCCACTAGACCAAGAGGCCCTGTGAAGGTGGTGGGGATTCAGCTTCAACCCCGATGTCTTCAGGGTCTTGCCCGGAATGTAGATTGGTTGCAGAAGAGGCCCGGTGCTCTCCTACTCTTCATTCACATGCATATGTGCAGCATCTACAGTTACAGGAATGGCTTCTTCCCTAAAATGAGGAGAAGTCCAATATTATCTCTGGCCCAGTGACCACCAAGAGATCTGCACCTCCCGGACTTCAGGCCTGCCTTCCAGCGAGACTTCTTCACCTTGCACAGTTGACTAGCTGCTGCCACAAGTTCCCCACCTGAGGAGGAAAGGGGGCCGTTTGACCCAACATGTCAGGAAAGTCCTGAACTGAATGTTTGTGCCTGGGCTGCAGAAGCCTGGGGGACATGACCAGGCTGCGTGGACACTGTGCTGTCCTCTCCCCCCTCCCCAGGGGAAGCTTAAGCTGCTGCTGTCACTCCTCCACCCGAGGGAGGCCTGGCAACCCCAGGCCGCGGCAACGGGTCAGGCTGGCGGCTGGCACACTCATCATCTCTGCCCCAGCTGTACAGTTTCTCTCTGACATTAAATGCCCTTCGCGGAGGTTTCGCTCCCTTTCCTTATTTGGACCCGTGCTGATGTTTCATGAGTCTCCTTTTATTTTTTATTTGATCTTTAGAACTCTGCAGTGTGGAAGAGGGTAAGGAAATTGTGACTCCTTAGACTGTCTAGTCTGGTGATTAGGGGGAGGGACAGAAGAATGTTATGAGAATTAAATCAGGTGATGCATTTAGGCATTCACCCCAAGGGCTAGCACACAGTTAAACACTCCAGAAGTGGTAGCTGTTAAAATTACTACTATGAACAAGGGAATTCAGAGATTTTTTTTTTTTTTTTTTTTTTTTTGATTGAGAAAGAGTTTTGCTTTTGTCACCCAGGCTGGAGTGCCATGGCACAATCTCAGCTCACCAAAACCTCCGCCTCCCAGGTTCAAGCAATTCTCCTGCCTCAGCCTCTTGACTAGCTGGGATTACAGGCATGCGCCACCACGCCAGGCTTATTTTGTATTTTTAGTAGAAACAGGGTTTCTCCATGTTGGTCAGGCTGGTCTTGAACTCCCAACCTCAGGTGATCTGCCTGCCTCAGCCTCCCAAAGTGCTGGTATTACAGGTGTGAGCCATGGCCAAGGAAATTCAGAGATTTAAGTTGAAACCTCACATTTACCTTCACCTTTCCCTTCTCCCATTTGATAGCCTACCAAGCAAATGCCAGCTTGTTCCCTGGTCCCTGGTAAAGCCCGGGCAATGGGGATGCCCTTTGCTGTCTCCTCTGTGTTGCTGTCTGTAGTTTTGGACTTCAGTACTGGGGCCTGGAAAGTAAGGCTTGGGGTTTCAGAAAGGGAGATATTCTTATCCTAAAGAGGGAGGAAGGAGTGACTGAGACAGAGACACTGAGCCAGGCTGCTCTACAGTGACCAGCCTGCAGGTAAGTGGTGATTACAGAAAGACATCAGTTTTATTCTAGAGAACTTTACTTCAGGAGAAATAATAAAATTAATGAGTTAACTTGGGTTATAATGAGAAAACGATATTGCAAAACTGTTTAAAAGAGATTCTGCCTGAGGACATTTATGGCCATACATACTACTGGTCACTTTAGTACCTACAGGAGAGTGTTCTGACCCAACCAAGAACTTCAGACCTAGAGTTATTTTACCAGCAGCTAACTCACGCTGTTACTTAGATTCCTTTGGTTGACACTTTCAAAGTGACATTTCATTTTCATGAAAGAAAAGGATTGAAGTTATGGCCAGGTGTAGCGGCTCATGACTGTGATCCCAGCGCTTTGGGAGGCTGAGGTGGGTGGATCACTGGAGGTCAGGAGTTTGAGACCAGCCTGGCCATCTCTACAATAATAATCTCTAATACAAAAATTAGCTAGACGTGGTGGTGCATGCTTGTAATCCCAGCTACTTGGGAGGCTGAGGCAGGAGAATTGTTTGAACCTGGAAGAGAGATAGAAGTTGCAGTGAGCAGAGATCACGCCACTGCACTCCAGCCTGGGCGACAGAGTGAGACCCCGTCTCGAGAAAAAAACCAAAAAGATTGAAGTTAATTAATCTACAAAAGATGAACACCATGTCCTTGTCTTCATTCATTGACATTTAACCATTTTAACCACCTTTAACCATAACTATCTAGCTGCAAAGATCAACCATGAAAATAGGGTTTTGAAACACTGGCTAACTTGACTGTTCCCCACATCAGTTCTAGAGGTTGGGAGAATTACTTTGTATCCGGTGCTCAAACTGTTGAAGAGCTAAAATCTAATCTATCAGAAGCCCCCAGAAATTAGCTGAGAATGATTGCCCACAACCCCCAAAAATCACTTCCACGTTCACGGAGGGAGATGGATAATCCTTATCAGAGTGAGGTTTTCCTGCAGAGTCACGGCAAGTTGTGGAGTAAGCCAATTTTCCTCCTGATGTGGGAGCAAGTTGCATTCAAATACCAGTGTGGTTTTTGCATCCACCGACCTATTTTTCTAAGTAGGTTGGAATACAGTTAGAGTTACTTGTCACTTGCCTGTTGAATCCTGCTGGATTGACAGCTGTCTGTGAAGTAGCCAGTCACGCCGTAGGAATGTGGGTGGAGAATGTAGAAACCAACCTGAGAAAAGCAAGTGGGCTTCTGCGCAGAACCATAGAATGCTGGGGCAGGAAGGGAACCTGACAGTTACAACTCAAGTTCCTGGGGCTCCAGATAAAAGATGGGACTCTCCATCCTTTGAGGTGAGAAACAAAACTTGCTATTTGTATTGAAACCTCAAATTGGCTATTGCCTCAGAAATTCTGCCATGCTTCCTCTCTTTAATCATTACTGTCTTATTTAAGCTAAGATAAGATAGTAATGGTTGCTAAACTCTGTCATCCCCTAGAGTTTTAGATAAGGTCCAGATAAGGACCTCTAGATCCTGAGCAGGTCCCACACCTTAGTGTGCTTGTAAAAAGGCAGAATCCTGGGCCCCCAACACCAGGAATTTGTATTCAGCTGCTCTGGGGCAGAGTCTGGGACCTGCAGGGATCCGATGCTGTTGGCTCAAAGGCTACACTGGACTTGGATACGGAGAGCTAAGACCTGCCAGGAGTCAGGGAGCCTGGTCTTGATTCTCAGCCCAGTGCTCTTTGCAGCCCTGGGCAGGGTTCCCTAGTATCCAAAATGCGTTATAATCAACACGTAGTCTAACCAGATCATTGCATTGGGTGTAATGCCTGGACCAAACAGTTCTAGCCATCCCGGGGAACCTTTCTGATGAGTAGGAAAGAGCTTTCTGCCCCAGAGCAGAACTGTGTTCCACCTCCCTCCTCCACCTAGGATGGGTAAGGGCCTACTGATCCAATTCCTGAATGTCTATAATAAGGCAATATGTTCTTCACTATTTGTCTTTGCCTTAACTTCCAGATGAAATTAAGAGAAAGGTATGCCTGACTGTCTCCATTTAATAAAAAGACAGGATGGACAACTAGAGGATGGGAGGGTAGGAAGGCAGTCACAGGTGTGGTTAGGGTTAGGGCAGGCCTCCATTCATCCAAGCATCGTGGACAAAGTCTCCAGAACTTGGTTCAAAGGCCTTACTTGGACAGATCAGTTTGTTCTTTTCCACGCTCCATCCTTTGAGGTAAGAAACAAAACTTGCTATTTGTATTGAAACCTCAAATTGGCTATTGTCTCGGAAATTCTGCCGTGTTTCCTCACTTTAATCATTAGTATCTTATTTAAGTTCCGTCATCCTCTGGGGTTTTAGGAGCTAGCAAGATGTCCTGTCATTATGACTGCTCTGTGAGATAGAAATCTTGCAGACGCAGTAGTTTATCAGAGAAGCCTATTCCTTGGGCAGACAGCCACACCACCCTGAGCGCGTGGGGAGAATAGTGCTTCCATCTTAAAACAGGGTTTGCTGCATTGCCAGACACCACTGACACTGGGCGCATGGATTTTGGGAGAACCTCAGTGTGTATGTGTGTGTGTGTGCGCGCGCTCGTGTACTTATGCCCACAGGAATGAATGTTTTTCATTAATTTAGAGGTGGAGGTGGAGACGCACCAGAGGCATGGAGTATGTAAAAAATTACAAACAACTCAACACTCTGGCTGAGGCGTTGCAGACCATGGGTTGTCTATCTTTATTGGAAATGTTTGTCCTCTGCCTGGCTGGTGATGACAGGCTTCATATCTCTAGAAGGAATGTTGGGGAGCTGAGAAGGGCTGTGAGCCATGGTTGCTAAGTGTTACTCTTGGTTCTTTATTATGTAAGAATCTCTGCATTGTGTTTATACTAAAACAGTAAGTAAAGGGTGCTTTAATTCTGGTTTTACATAAGAAGCATGGGAGTTTGCCCATTTTTCTCTGAAGTAAGAAGATTTGGGCCCAGCATGGAGGATCGGACATCAGGCAGTGAGGATGACTGAACCCCATCCACAGGTAATTTTCTAGCCTGTTGGAGAATTTGGGTGTTCCTCACGTAGCCTTTTCCTTCCTGGCTTCCTCCCCCTTGCTGCAGGCCTTCTGGTCTTCACGCTGCTCATTTGCAGCCCTACCAGAAGCAGCAGCAGCAGCAGCAGAGCCAAATCAGTTCATTGAGGCCTCCTAAGTCGTTTTGATAAACAACTGGGTGGGAGGAGGGGTGGTTCAAGTGAGATTTTAAGAATTACAGACGCATGTGTATTATTTGAAGCTCCACAGGAGAACTGAAAATAGCCTGAAAGCTGCTCACAGCCAAAGCCAGAAAGAAACTGCAGGAGAGAGAGAGAGAGAAAGAAAGAGAGAGAGAAAAGACTCATTCAGGGCAAGAGAGGGTTTGCTGGTGTGGAAGCCGGGTGGTGTGGAGGCATTCAGCAGAGTATCAGGAGGGCCCTCAGCCAGGTCCCAAGGAAAGATGTGAAAGAAAAGACGCTATGGAAAGAGTGAACCCTTTTCATTCCATTTTACTGTAAAGCCAAAAGGAATGAATACTGTTTTAAGCGACCCTGGCCCCATCCCATATTGGTCCTCTGCCTGTTGGGTCAGCCAGCTCTTTGGCTGGTACCTGATTTGAAAGTTATATCTTTCGTATATTTATTTCCAGAGACCTTTTTAGTAGACGTTGTATTTCATAAAGGAATTTTTAAAATCTCTTTTGTTCCCTGCTATGTCTGCCAGCATCCACAACAGTGCCTAGAACAAAGCAAGCACTCAGTAAATATTTGCTGAGCGAATGAATGAATGATGAGGAAACTGAGGCATAATGTGGTTAACTGCCTGGTTCACCATTCATTTGTTCTATCGAAATTGGAAGTAATAGAAACCAATTTGAGCCAGATTACAAAGGAGTATGGCACAAGGGGTCCCAAGAGTCTCAAAGACGTCAGCGTCTTCAGGAGTGGACCTGGACACGTCTGGATCCCTCTCCCTTCCTCCTCTGTCTTCTGAAGGCTGCCCCTCTCTCTCTCCCTCTCTCTCCTTTCGTCCCTCCCTCCTTCCCTCCGCAGACCAGCTTCCTCTGCCTCCCATGGTGGGAACAAGGCAGCACACAGCTTCCCAGTTAGGCTACAGTTCCAGCC